AGCCGTCATTGTTGTTTGGCGGGTCCGGGCTGGGGATTCGAACCCACCACCTTAGGTGTACGTGGCTGGCGCCTTAGCCAGTTGAGCTATAGGCGCTGAGCCTATTGATGGTGTTTTTAATTGTATAATAACTGTTAGGCTTCTTCTCAAAGCATGATGCCAGCTTGGCAATCTGACTGCCAAGTCTTGGAGATCCTCTGAGGTGAGGATATTTGGTCCTGTAACATTAGTCACGGCTCAGAACTGGGGAAGGAGTGCTTGCCTGGAGCAAGAGACCTGGTTTCCAACTCCACATCTGCTACCAGCCAGCTCTGGAGCTTCAGGCAAATCACTGCTCACTGCTCCTCCCTGAACTCAGTTTCTTCTTTGATCATGGAGTATTTTCTGGAAAAGGGCTCTGCGGCTCCATTGTCCCTCCCCCGTTAACTAGAATCATTCCCCATTCTTAGGCTCAGCATCAAAGAGCTGTGGGTAAAAGCAGGAGGTGCCATAGTTGGGGGTCTGAGGACAGAAGAAGGGCACTATGGCAGACAAGGGCCTGGGCAGGGAGGCTGTAGGAACTCACTGGCTGTGAGTTCTGGGACCAGTCTCCACCCCTGCTGATCTCAGTCTCCACCCCTATAAAATGGGAGTAACAGGACTGCTCTGCAGAGTCCCTGGGAGAGTACCCAGGAGACTGGATAGGAACACAGAGACAGGTTTAAGGGGTGATGCAACTTCTTATTTATTAATATATAATAACAAAAAAGATAAAGCTCATATCTTCAACTGTTCAGTTCTTTGTTATAATGTCTTGGTTGCTTTGTCTGGGCTGGCCGTGACCTTCAGCTCTGGGGTCTGGGCTAGGAAGACGTTCCAGTGACCTGCATGGAGAAAGAGAGAAGAGTGTGTGTGTGTGTGTGTGCGCGCGCAGGCGCATGTGCGCACAATATGCAGTGGCTAGGAGTGGGAAAGCTTAGGGCAAGGAGGAACTGCATGAGCCAGGGTTTGGAGCCTAAGGGAGCATAGAGGCGAGTGTCCCCCTCACACAGTTCTGCCACATGGCCCAGCCCTCAACCAACCAATATTTGGGGCACAGGGCTGGTTTCCTGACACCTGTTGTGAATTCTTGCCTCCCCCACCCAAAGCCCCACAACTTCCTAAGAGTAAAGTAGAGCAAATTCAGGGCATCAGGAAGAAAGGGGTTAGAGAGGGAGTAGGAATTACCAGGGACTGGGGGCTCAGACTCTTCCCTACAGTTTTGTTTCTCCCACCCCCATGACCAAATCCAGCCAGCTCTGCTTTACCTTCCTGCTCCCAAGTTGAGAAATCTCTGGCCCACACGCCCACTGGATTCCTGTGCTGGGAACTGACGTCTGTGGCTGGCAGTCTCCCCACACCAGCCCCCATCCCGGCACCAGCAGCCTGGGAACGCCCCTGAGGCTCCGGCCTCCACCCTGCCCCCTTCCCCAGGCCTCATTCCTCAGCCAAGGGTCCTACCTTTGTGGGTGCCAGCGAGCAGCTGGAAGTTCTGTGCCTCTTTCTGGAAGTCTTGCTTCCTGACTTTCTTGATCTGAATCAAGTGGAAGATTCCTGAGGGCAGAGACAGGGACATGAGCAGGAAAGGCAGGACGTATGGTGAGTGAGACAGGGTGACACAGACACAGAACCCAGACATCTCCCTCCGCTGCCCCCACACTCATCAGGCACCAAATCCATTGATTATGCTTCCTAAACCCTTTGACTCTTCTAGCCCACTGCCACTCTCCTCACTCAGGCCCTGTTGTCTGGTCACTATAATGGCATCCTAACCCCTTTCACTCCCTGTCTAATCCCTAATCCTAACTGTGGTCACTCCAGGATGTGTGCATTACCCTGTCATTCCCCTTCTCTGACTTCCCTGCTCTCCCAGCATTCACCTGTCCCAGTGTAGGGAAGGAGGGAAGGCAGGCAGGAAGGAAGAAAGGAGGGATGGAGGGAGATAGGCTGGCCCACATGGACTGGTCGAGCTTTTCTCTGGGCAAAGACCATGTGATAAAACAAGACAGCAAAGAGTTAGCAAGTGTCAGAGTTACGGTGCCTTGCCTGTGCTCCAGCCCTAACGAAATATTGAGGTACCCCGAGGGTGTAAAACTTTTACAAATGACATCCCCTCTGTGGAATACTTTCAACTCTCCCTTCCGTTCTGCTGTTGCCACGGAGTGAACTCCTACCGGTCTCCCAAGCCTTAATTGCTCTTTGGGGCACCCATATAGCACTTGGCTTCTGTTTGTGATTATATATGGTTTTGTTTTGTTTTTTCCTGAGGTAGAGTCTCATACTGTGCCTTGGGTAGAGTGCTGTGGCATCATAGCTCACAGAAACCTCAAACTCTTGGGCTTGAGAGATCCCCTTGTCTGAGCCTCTTGAGTAGCTGAGACTACAGGTGTCCACCACAATGGTTAGCTAGTTTTTCTAATTTTAGTAGAGACAGAGTCTTGCTTCTGCTCAGGCTGGTCTTGAACTCTTGAGCTCAAGCAATTCACCAACCTGGGCCTCCCTGAGTACTAAGATTATAGGTGCGAGCCACTGTGCCCGGCCTTGTTATACCTAGTTCCAAAGGGCCATGATTGTGTCTAGTCTTGCCTCCACCACCAGACTGAGAACTCCTGGGGGGCTTTCCTCTGTGTCCCTTGAGCCTGGCCTACATTAGGCATGTAGAATGAATGACTCCTTGGATGGATGGATAAATATATCTAGTCTAGACCAGGCCTTGAGGGGGAATGAGGTATTATCTGTATCCCATGATGTTTGCATCTCATGGAGATCTGGCCACTAACACTACACATGGCACTGAGGTCCTGAGCACATGGGCTATGAGTTTGCCGCAGCTGTTCCCCACCAAGGTCTCTGGCCAGAAAGAACAGATGCAACCAGCAAGGTCTCTACTAGGCCAGCACCACTTTCAAGAAAACCAAGAACTTGCCCTGCTTATGGGAATCAGAGTAGGGTTCCACCAAGGGACAGAAGACACTCAGTTCCAGGAAATGTTCAGCACCATCCTCAGCACCCCCAACCAGATGTCAAGGACTAGGTTGTAGAGGAAACTCTAAAGACTCAGGAGCTGCATTACACTGGCAGGCAATAAACATGAGAAGAGATGGGGACAGGTTTTTCTGCACAGGCCTGCTGTTGCATGCTCCCTGGGTCACAGAAAAACTGGAGAGGAGTGGGTGGTGCTGTGGCTCAAAGGAGTGGGGTGCTGGCCCCATCCATATGCCAGAGGTGGTGGGTTCAGACCCAGCCCCGGCCAAAAACTGCAAAAAAAAAAAAAACAAAACTGGAGCGGAGTGACAGGGATAAGGATGGCTCCTCACACTATAGTCTGAAAAGCATAATTGGGCATGAGGCCAAGAGCTAGCATGAGGGCCATGGTTGTACTTCTTGGTTTTTGAAGGGCTGTGTCAGGTCTGAGGGCAGCTGGGCTCTGTGGCACCCCAGGGCAGAGCTGGCACCGCTGGGTGAGTCCCAGGAAATAGGACAGGCTCAGCTCAGTGTGAGGACACACCTTCTCTGGGCTGAGCCATCATGTCAGAAGTGAATCACCAGTCTGGGAGTGGAAGCAGGGGGTATGTGCAGTTAGGGGCCAAACACCGTAAGGAGGCTTCAGGGGGACTTCTTCCCAGGCAGGGCTTGGAAGAGAGATCTTTGAGGTCCTTTCTACTCTGAAACTTTAGACTCTAGTAGGCCCTTAACCCTAAGCCAACTCTGCTGAGATCCTGGTGCCTAGGGCTGGCTCCACTGTGGTGTGGCCTCACCTAGCTTCTGCCTGCTCCCTTTGTTTTCAGTCTTCAGAGTGAGGAATCAGTGAGTGGTTCCCACTGACAGTCAGCCCTGGGGAGTACGTGTTGACACTCCCTAGTCTGGGACGGGGAGGGAATGGGGAGTCTGATGGGATGGTGCATTTAGGCAGCCCAGGGGGTGAGAAGAAGGAGGCGTTTGCTAGTGGCAAATCTTTGCTTTACTGTTTAAACTGCGTGACTTTTAGCAAGTTGTTTGACCTCTTAGGCTCAGTTTTCTTATCTGCAAAATGGAGAACCCCCTTAGGGTTCTCAAGAGGATTCAATACAGCACATTGTATACAGTGCCCGCTACATACCAGTCACAGAGCACAGGGCATATGAGCGTGGGTTCTAGAGTGTGGGCTCTAAGGCTGTCACTGCCATCCTGCCTCTCTAAATCAGGAAGCCTATCCTCCACAAAGCCTTCCCTGACCTAGGCTAAGCCGTAAGTTCCTAAGGACAGAGGCTGGGGCCTATTACTCTCTGTGGTCTCAGCACCTGGCAAGGGGGGTGTCAGGGAGGCACAGAGTAAACATGCAGCCAGCACCTGGGACTGATGGTATCTTAAGGCTCAAGAAACTGTAAGGGTCACTGATTCTAACTTCCCAGCTGCAGGCAGAGCACCACCCTCCAGCCCTTGCTTGCACACTTCTACGTGGAGCTTGCTCCCTCCCTTCCACTATAGGAAGGCTCTAAGTATAAGAAAGTTCTTCTCATTGAGCTAAAACCTGCTTCTCTGCAATTCTAACCAACCTGATGTGGGATGAGAAATATATTTTTAGCGCTTACTACATGCCAGGGGCCGTACCTATGTCATTTCATTTAATTCTCTAAAACTTTCTTCCTAAATTAACAGAAGAGAAAGCTAAGGCCCAGAGAGGTCACGCGATTGCCTGAGGCCACACAACTAAAAATTAGCAGAGCCAGTATTTGAACCCAAGTCTGCCTCGTTCCAAAGCCCCTGCTTATTGTCTGACCCTTGTGGTCACTTAGAATATGGCCCTTCAGAGCCATGAAGCCAGCAGTCCTGGCCCCGGAGTCTTCTCTTCTCCAGGCTGAAGAGCTCCACTTTCTTCGTCCAGTCCTCCTACGACAGGGGGCGGAGTAGAGCAGGTAAAGAGCCGCATCTGACGTCACAAGACATGGGCTCTAGCTCCCGTCCTCCACTTACTGGCTGTGTGGCCTTGGGCCAGGTACTTCACCTCTCTGAGCCTCAGTTTCCTCATCTGTAAAATGGGGATAATAATACCTAACTCTCAGGATCGTTGAGGAACAAATGAGGTAGTGAACGTGGAAGCACTTTGTAAATTCTAAAGTGCTACACACATTTGGTTATTATTATTACTGTCATTGTCATCATTCTTACCATCATTCCCTCTTCCATCCCCCGCACCTGCCCCACCAAACCCATCAATAGAGGAAAGTGACCAAAACTCACACTGAATGAGTTTAGTTTGGATAGTGGCTTAATGTTTCTCTCTACCCAGGGGATTTATGTTTTATAAGTGATAAAATCTACCGCTTAGAAAAGGCTGACCCAGCTGGCCTCAAGGCCCTCCTGCTGTGAGGGCCCTCCTATCTGAAAAGATCTCTGTTCCCCAGTGTTGAGATCCTAGGGTCAGACATCCCTGTATTTCCTCAGGGTAGGCGTTACCCTGCCAGACTCCTTGTAAGGTGCAGCAGCGCCTTCCCCCCGGGAGAGGGAGCACTTTGAGACCTTGGCATCTTAAGAGAGAGTGAGCTTATCAGAACTGTCAGAGGAGACAGAACCATTCTCCCTCCTTTGAATCAGGGACTCTTGAACCTGGAAGGGTGCACAGGGTAGCTGATCAAACATCCCTAAGGCCCCTGCGGGCTCAGGAGCACAGACAGGAGGACACGCCAGAGGCACACCCAGCTGGGAGTGAGCCACACCTACCTTTTACCAGCTTCCAGAGGTAGATCTCCACCTGGTCAGAAGTCTCATGCTCCAAGGCAAAGCGATGCAGGTTGTCTGGGCTGGGGGATACTGACGTGTGGACGAGGACCCTGCCTGGTGCCTTGGGACATCTGGTGGAACTGATCTCAGTGTGGCCAGGGTCTGCCTTATCCTCTGAGGGAGACAAGAAGCTAATGAAGTATTCAATAAACATTGGCTATTCCTCCTGAAAGTCCTAATACTTTAAAATTTTATGACTTCATGGAATCCAGAACATTATTTGATTCTGTCAACAACCTCTGAATCTATTACTGTAACACCAGATGTTCCATAAATTTACTATTTTTCAAGTCTGACATTTTTCCACTCCTGTGTTTCCAACATGTCATGCATCTATACTCCTCATTTGTGGCTCTGAGTGCACATCCTTCTGTCTGAGACATTCCAAGGGTCTGTGGCCTTACGGACAGAGACCCAGGGCTCACTCTGGCCAGTGCCCGCCTGCTCCCACCCCTGCACCTCTTCACACCTGGGCAAATCTTGCAGCACTTCCCAGCCACTTTCTCAGGGTGACGGCAGGGGTACTCAGTGGGGCAGTTCACGCGCTGGCAGTCCTGGCGGCCATCGTGACAGGTGCACAGGATGCAGGGCAGGGGGCCGAAGGAGCGAAAGGCTGGGTGCCACACCTCCCCATGGGAGTACGTCTTCCCACCATGCACGCAGGCTGGAATGAGGACGGCAGGAAGGCAGGAGGCTCAGTGCCTCAGGCCCGCCAAAAGCCTCTGGTCCAGAAGTGGGTAGGGCAGGCCGTTGGGGGCCCCCACTCCACCAGTCTAGCCCAGCTACTGCCAGCAAAGCACAGGCGAGGGTATAAACCTGTCCTGGGTCCCTCATCACTGACATCCCCCCACCTCTGCACTTAGGGCTAAGAAGGGCCTAGCAGGAACTTGCTGAGTTTGGAGAATCCTCTCCTGCCCTCAGGGTGCTTCTACTGGAGCAAGGAGAGTGCTGACCTGGCAGGAGGGGAACTGGGATAAATTTCTGTCACCATCTGGCCCTTTGAGCCCTAGCAGGACCCTTTCCCCTTCTCTGCCTCTGGGTCCCTTGTGTACAAAGGGGGGCTGGGACTAGGTAGCCCTATAGCTTTTCCCTCCCCACTAGCTGGGGTGCTCTGCAGTGAGCCCCCTTTGTTCCCCTTTTTCAGCCATTGCTGCCCCTTGGGCCACCTTCCCCTTTCCATCCCGTTTTCCTATAGCTCAACTCTGCTCCCTCCTTTCTTTGTCAAAAACTTTCCCTCCACATTTCCTAATATTAATTTATTTACAGTATCTCCTAACACAGTCTCAAGGGCAGAGACCACTTTTTGCTTATCCATTCTGTCTCCCCCATTTCCTAGCAAAAAAATATTGCTGTGCTGTTCCAGCTCTGGCTCTGCCTCTAACTCAACACTCTGAACCTTAGTGTCTTGTCTGTTAAATGGGGGGAGGGGTAGTTGAAACTGATGACCTTTAAAGGCACATTCAGATTTTTTTTTTTTTTTTTTTTGAGACAGAGCCTCAAGCTGTCCCCCTGGGCAGAGTGCCGTGGCATTACAGCTCACAGCAACCTCCAACTCCTGGGCTCAAGCGAGTCTCCTGCCTCCGCCTCCCAAGTAGCTGGGACCACAGGCGCCCGCCACAACGCCCGGCTATTTTTTGGTTGCAGCCGTCATTGTTGTTTAGTGGGTCCGGGCTGGGGATTTGAACCCGCCACCTTAGGTATAGGTGGCTGGCACCTTAGCCGGTTGAGCTATAGGCGCCGAGCCGGCACATTCAGATTTGATGCTCTTTTGAGTCTACAACCTCATGGCCAAGTTGGGATGAGGGAACCACTGGTGGGAGGATGCACTTTGGGTCAGTGGGAGCAGGCAGGGCCTGCCTCTGAGATTGGAGGAGGTCCAGTCCCCACCTTTCTTATGCTTCTCCTTCAGGACGATCTTGACAGTTGTGCTGCCTGCCCCCTTTGGTCGGAAGTGGCGAGGGATGAAGCCCAGAGGGGTGCTGAGGCCGGTGGGGGCTGGGGTGCCCGGACTCCTCTTTCTCCCACCATCACCCACACATAGATCCTGAGAATGTCTCTGCAGAAGGCAGGGAGGGTGAAGAACACTGAGTGTGGCAGGCCACTGCTGGTGGAAGGACAGCAAGACTGGCTGCAGCAAGAAGCCGAGGGATGACACCAAGGAAAAGGGGGCACACGCTAGGGCCAGGGAGATCTGGAGTGAGTATGAGATGTTTACAGACCGTGGATCTTTGAAAACTTAGGATAGTGATTGGGAAATCAGCTTCCACCGAGTCCTACTCAGGCCTTGTCAGAACCAGGGAGGTCCTTGGCAATGGGGTATGCAAAGGCTGCTGAGGTCCTGATGTGGGGAATGTAACTGATAAGTGATATGGAGAACCTAATATTTAAGAAACAGAAGATGAGCATGTAGTGAGGATGGGAGTCAGGAAATTCCTCACTGTTTGGTAAGACTGAGGAGCTGGGACAAGGGCCTGAGCCTCTGAACATCCTACCAGGTCCTAGAATTCCATGGGGCATGACTAAGAGCAGGCCCCATCCAGAGACAAAGGGTCTCTGGAGCTCAGGTCCTCTTTCCTGAGCCCCTACCCCTCCAGATCAGGTCCTGGGAGAGCTGGCAGCGACAGCAAAAGGTGTGTGCTGCAGGTGGCTCCGTGCCATGGGCGAGGATCCTATTTTGTCCCTCATTGACCCAGCATCACTCACATACCTTCTACAGCCCATTCCTACCTGGTACAGTCTCTGAGTCTGTTCTTTAATGGCCCAGAGCCTGTGCCCACAGAGCTCCTAGGAAATGCTTGCTGAGTGCAATAGAACTAAGAAGGAATCCAACAACCCAACCTCCAAATGGTGACTTGCTGCAGGCACCCAGCAAATCAGTAAGTAGCTGATCAGGGCCTGGAACTAAGCCCAAGTGGGCTTCACTTACACTTTCTCCTGGGCAGAGGTGAGGACAGGGAGTAGAATGGTTCAGGGCCCCAGCAGAGAAGGCCCAGCCTAAGAATGGGCAGGATGGGCTGGCAGAGGAGAAGGGTAAGATGTTGAGCTCAGACCCTTGAGGAATCTGTAGGAAGGGAACCCAGACTGAAAGAGATGGAATTGCTCACATTGTAGACACAGTGCAGAGGACCCAGTGAGGACTTGAGTCAGTGAGTGTGTAAGCCCATTCATTCTCCTGCCTCTCTCCCCTCAGACCAAACAGAACTGAATAGATAAGCCCATCTCATCTCTTGTCTCTTGACCAAGAGTGAGAAGGGTCAAGATAGAGGTGGGAACAGAGAGATAAACCCCAGACAAAGAACCAGTACTTCAGGAACTGGGTGGGAAGTTGGGCCCAGGTCAAAGGCCATTCACCTGGGGAACATGCTCCCCAGAAGCAACCTAAACAAGGAGAGATGTAGGCTCTGGACAGAATAGTGTCAAAAAATTCCCCAAGAGGGAAATGAGGAAGACTGGGGCCTGCTCCTACCCTATGTGGTAACCTGTTTTCTTCTAGGCCTGTCCTTACCCATCAGCCAAGATGGTAACCATGATGTGGGGCAAGGGAGAGGGGATGGAATACAGTGGGGGGCGAACGTAGCTGACCCCAGGGGATGAAGGAGAAGTGAATACACTAACAGGTATGGCCTGCTCCAGCCATGGAGATGTAGGTACCCCCAACTCCTACCCTGCCGGAAAAGCTGTGCACTCACCACCCCATGGCGTGACTGTGTGGTGTCCTCTTCAGCTGATTTCTCACTTGCCCCATCTGAAAACTCAGGGAAGTCGGGTCAGCCTCAGGCTATGAAGCCTTGCTGTCTAGAGCCCTGAGGCCTCCAGCTAGAGGCTCTGCCCCTCCCCAAGTCCTAGTGCCACTTCTGTGGCCCCAGCGCAACAGCAAGTCCTTTGTCCCAGTGGAGTTTATTCTGCTTCTCATTACAGCCTGTCTTCATCCTTGTTAGGTTAAGGAAGTCCCTACAACTGGATTGCTGCTTCAGTTTCCCCACACTGACCTCTTGGTCACCTTTAGGATTGAAATGCTTGGCTGGAACAGAGCATCTTGTTTAGTTCGTACTTAAAAGTCACCTTTCTGAGACCTAGGGCCATACATACGTCAGTGCCCACTATCGATGGCACAAAGGCCCAGAATCCTATCCTTTGCAGTCTCCTGGGCATACTCCACCCTGGCAGGCTTGAAGTCGCCAGGCCTAGTTACACTATATACTCCCAGGGCCTTACCTTCCAGCCCCCCAGCTTGAACACCTACAATTCTCCCAGCCCCAATTCCTTGGGGGAAGCAGCACACAGAGCCCTTGGAGCCCTGCAGCCTCCTGGAGTCCTGAGTGGCTCTGGCTGCCACTGGACATTCTTATTCAGAGACCCAGAACACTAGAACTAGACTGAGAAACCACCAAAGCTGACCCCTCTGTGTACCCACAGCACACCTGAGGCCCAGAGAGGGAGAGGAATCTGTGAAGTTACTGGAGGAATCAGGACAAAACTCCTGGCCCAGTGCCTCTTCTAAAATGCCAGCATCTGGGGACACATTCCACTGTGGAGCACTTCCCAGCCTGAGTGCTGCCTCCTCCAGGAAGCTTTCCTTGACTACCTTAGTTCTACCACTTCATTCTTCTGAAGCTCAGTCTGCCCTTCATAGCCAATGTGTTGGCCTCTGTGTTTCAGAGAGAGATTCTACCTAGATTCTGCTTGACAGACATGTTCTGAGTCCCAGTGAGACCCTGTGCCCAGCTCTGCCACAGGATGACAGGGAGGAGACGTGGTCCTTTATGTATGGACTACTCATGTGCCACTTCTGGTCTCTTGGCCTCCTCTGACTGCGGGGACTTTGTCCTTGTTTTTTTTTTTTTTTTTTTTTTT